GGTACTGCATAAGACACGAATTTGGGATAAGCTGCGAGCCATCTGACTATTTCGAGCGCAAACGATCCTCCGACGCGAGTCCCAGACGAAACTATAGGTAACGAAATTATACGGTAAATTAAACGCATCGCGTTTTGAAATAGAGACTTGACTTGTCTAGACGAATAGTAAACTAAACCCACGTTCTACAACGACGCGAAGAAGATTGTTGAGGTTTCGAACTGGTGAACTAGCTATGTATTTGTGGATTTTAATAAAAACAACTGCACGCCGGAGGTCGCCTGTAATCTGGCCGTGTTTCTCAATGGCCATTCCGAATACAAAATTGTTTTGCTCTTGGAGTTTCGTCCTCGAGGAACGAACTACATCTAAATTACGAACTTAGAATGGATCAAGCATTCATAAATATACGAGAAAAGTGAAACAAACGATTAAGATTCGACCCTATAGCTATCGACGGAGATTGTTGTGCTGAAAGAAGAATGTCAACCGAAACGCAAACTAAGAAGTCGACGACGACTCCCAGGTTATTAGCGTGCGTAAAATGGACATTTCATTCAAAATAACAGTGAAGTAGAAATGTATTCATTTAACTGGAAGTATACAGAACCTCTTTTCAAGATCTTGTCGAAGGATTTTCCATGATTTCACTAGTACGGAATATGAAAATTTGTGTAGCTCGTGTTCGTACACAGTAATTGAATGTGCATATTCTACGGTCGGGCGACAATAACGANTGTCAGTCAACCGAAACGCAAATTGATAAGTCGAGGACTCCCACGTTATTAGCGTGTGTAAAATGGACATTTCATTCAAAATAACAGTGAAGTAGAAATGTATTCATTTAACTGAAAGTACACTGAACCTCTTTTCAAGATCTTGTCGAAGGATTTTCCACGATTTCACTAGTACGGAACATGCAAGTTTGTGTAGCTCGTGTTCGTACACAGTAATTGAATGTGCATATTCTACGGTCGGGCGACAATAACGAAGCGAAAAGTTACCTCACCTTCGAATATTGTTTGCCGACATCTCTGCTTATCTCTTATGTTAAAACTATTTTCAATCAATGATCTGGAGAAGCAGGCAGGAGTGGATTACGACTGCATCGCATTTCCCCCTCTATTTCGGGGGAAATTAATATTTGAATGTAAAAGTGTTTTGTCACTCCGAAATTTGCACGTTCCGTCAAGTCAAATTATCAACTCTTCGTGTTATTGGCATCTCTGTAACCCTTTAAGAGCTGTAAGCTAACTCTTCAGTCATTGTTTGTACCTTTATAACCCAAATGGACCGGCAAATTGTCGATCCCGGCCTTAATATAATTATACAACGCGGCGATCTCGACCAGCGACCCGCACTTCGAAATGGAAAAAAAAATGTACTTCGCAACCGTCCAAATGGTAGCTAGACTCCGAATTGTAATGCTAGATGATACAGTTCTTTCACTTAAAGTTCTTGTCCAGTTTTGATAAAATATGAATCACAAATACCCCGAAAATGTTCTGACTGCCCTCGAAGCTCAGTCAAAAGTCTTCTAAGTGTTTTAGCCCGGTTCCCGAAGTGACGTCACTAGTAGCCCGACCCAGATCCCACTCTGCGCGGTCGTGAACATAGAAATTACATGTTTAAACGCTTGTAGAAACGCAGGGATTTTATCAATCGAGATCATTTTTTCGCTGAAGTAATCAGGGAAACTAGTACATTTTATTGAAGGAAAAAAAATTTGGGGGGTTAGTGGCACTTAATAATGCATTGAAGTTCAGCATTTCGCGTATAGAGCGACCTCGACCGTCACGCAACGTTTTTGCCAAAACAGGAAACCAGTAGGATGAAACTTTTAAACGAAACGTTGAAAAGAGAACTGTGAATTCCTTCTTAGAAGAAAAGCGCCCGAATGATATGTTGTATCACTTGCAGAACAACTACTGTACATACCGTTTATATAATCTGCATAATCAGTAAAAGTAGATCCACTGGATATTAAAGGTCTTAATACTTGCCAGTCAGGATCACACTTCACAGCAGTCATCTCATGTAACAATGTAGAACAGACTTTAAATATTCGTTTTAAATCTCAAATTCTTATATTCCTCTCCTTCCACTTCCTAGATACCATCATATGCATGCAATTATGCGTTAACAATGTCTGCGACTTTCATCATCTAGCGCCGGAACTATCATTCCTACGATCAATTCTTCTCCTAGGCCCCGTGGATTTCATTTTTTCCAATTGACCGAATTTTTCGTCCTCTAAAAAACGTTGTATTTTAGCTATTCAAATATCCAGTATACCATTCTAGAACAAAGAACAGAACCTGCTCCGGCTTGAACCTAAGGCACATGAGTCAAATCAAACACGACACTCCGCGATATCTCCCTTGTATGCCCTTCCAGGTCAACATGAATTAAAGCTTGCTAAAAAAACTTACCTGAAGATTTTAAGCCATAAAAAATGGTTATTAGACTTATAGCTCGCAACCACAGCATCTCCACAGCGTTAAAAGGGTTGCAAAAAAGAAACAATTTAACTCACTTTCGATTGCGTTATGACCTTTCAGTTTTTGACTGAAACGGAAAGTGACGTGTTCCGTTTCATCCCATGGTTGTCACGCAACTCTATTATGCTCAACTAATAGGTGACTTATCAAAAGGAGGCAAATGGCGAAGGGCGAGGCCTCGAAGGGAGGTTTGATTTTTTTTAAGACTTTGACTTTTTTTAAAGTAAAAGATACTCATAAGAACGTTTTGAGAGGTTGAGAAAAGGCGTAACATACGTTGTTGTTGACAGCATGCAAATGACAAGAAACGATTGACTCCTTATTTGTGGCTTTTTTTTTAAGAGCGCGAGGCCTATCCCTTTGAGAACCTACCAAGGACATTCCAAGGCTCGCTAGAGGACTTTGTTTCGACAACGTTTTGAAAGAACAGTATGAACTCTTGCCAAATGTAAAATCTACACTCTATACATTCCAGTGACCAGTATTTAATGTCATCCTTGGTTATATCGTTGACTGTAATTTTTCATTTAGGACCACTCATTGACAGTTAAAACAAAAGTACTAAAAACATTAGACGATTACGAACATCTTACAACCGGTTTGAGGAACAAGCGGCCAAAAAAAAAAAACAATTAGTTATTCGTACAAGAAATAGTGTATTTTGGCATTACCAGAGCGGTAAATTGTCGGGAGAATTCGATCTGACGCATTGCATGTTCGCATGCTGAGTGCGCGATCCTTTTGGTCACGGATTAAGAGCACATGCTTATAAGTGAGGCGGAACTTGGATAGTAATAATCGGCGTCATGTGTAGAACATTACTTAGTACCAAGAAATCAAGTGAGGTCTAGTCAAAGAGGGATAGAGATATGGGAAATTTTTTATTGGGAGAAGGAAGTTTTGTGTACCAGATCAGTGTTGTCAGACACTGTATCGGTATCGCAGAGGCCGTGGATTTGAATCATGGTCAAGCCTGAACTGCCAACATTTGCCTTGAATCATAGTTCTAGCTATGTCCTTTTTATACTTTTTCAATCACTAGTATTAACTGGTACCCCCACATTAGTATGGAATTGCTAACCCAATCTATAAGATCTTGACACTCAAATAAAGTTTCATCATCATCATTGTCATCGTCATATGGTATTTCATATGAAATGCTATATTCGTGTAACGCAAATTGATCTACAGTGGAAATCTCCGCATTCCAATTGGCCATGAAGCGAAAATTTTTCTATACTGTTGCAAAAATCAATCACCATCTAACAGGCTACCAAGACAAAAGTCATAACGCCAGGCAAAGCAATCCTTTCAATGTCATCGAACTATTTTGGAGTCTGCCATTACCCTACATTGCTTTTCAAGGCTTGTGACTTGAATTTTCTCAGCCCATGTCCTTTTTTAAGTTTTACATTAAAATGACACATTTTGAATACTATAACTCTAACGGTAGGAGATGTACGAGAAAGAATGTATTTCTTCCTTGATTTGCCTTCGGCATCGTTCCTTTAGGTGGAGCTGCAAAGAAAAAGATATCTATATGTTACTGAATTAGCTTGTTCGCTCCTTACTGGGGTGATTGGTCGAGTCTAGCCAGTAGTAATCCCAGTCAGCCAATTTTAGGGCACGTGAGTTTTCAACAACATTAACTCGATTAGTAGAAGATTTCTTAGCAACAGTACTCTCGGTTAGGAACTTAAAGAACCCTTAGTTACTGAACGAACCGTTGAAATTTATTTCTGTTCCAACTTTTTGTATGTAAGGGAACATACCTGTCATAAATGGGGTTAACTACGGCATCACCAACATCAGCAGCACCGTACAATGGATTTTCATTCTCTTGTTCTAGGTAAGGTTTCTCCTTATTTTGGTCCTCCGTGTCTTGAACTTCAGTGTACAGGTCGTTTCCTTCTGAAAAACTCGGCTTGTTTGTGTTCGCGATAACTAAGTCACTGTGAAATAAGCAAAGAAGTGTAATTTAACACACGGTACCGTGCAGTAGCGCTGTGTAAGTCGCGCTGTTACTTTTGACAGGTGCATTTCAAATAACCCTTGAGTGATAGAAAATAACAGTTTATGGCAAGAGGACAAACCTGTCATAAATGGGGTTTGAACCTGCATCATCAGCGGTGGCAGCCTCGTACAATGGGTTTTCATCCTTTTGTTCCATGTAAGGTCCAACTCTTTCCTTCTCTGCTTCATGAACCTCAGCGTACAAAAGATTTTCTTCTGGAAAACTCGGGTCGTTTGCGTTAGCGATAACCAAGTCACTGTAAAATACATAAGCGAGTAACCTATTAATTTACGTTGCGTAGTATCACTGCATACAGTATTTTGACGATCCTGACATACTTAAATGAAGAGGACCAGTATGTAACGCAGTACTCGCCAATTTTTTTTAACAAAACATTTGGCTCCAATCATGTTTGACTGGACATGATCTGTCTCCAACAAAATCGGAAGGAGTAATGAACATTAAGCGAGAACCTGTTGGGAAGGTTAACGATACAACACGATCAAAACATCTTTTAAATTAACAGAATAATATTTTAGGCGGTGGCGGATTTGATTAGCACTCGTAATTCTTACCGGTCATAATACAGATTTTCAGCTGAAATGGGTGATTCGTCTTTTGACCTGGAATTAAAAGCAAACAAATAGATGTCGAAGACATCGATGGCGCAAAAGAGAAGATGATGAATACAGTTGAATAAACGTTCTAAATAAGCAACTGCTTTTGATTTGGTACAAACTAAATATGTTTATTTTAAGTTCATTTTATTTTATTTTGTTTCATTGATAAAAGAAATGCAGTTTTAATGATTTGTCTGATTTTTTTACATCAAGCGTTCGAGATTGTCCACCTCTGGAAGTCATGTTTTTAAATGTAATTAAGCGTATCAGTACCTCGCTGAAAAAATTATTTTACTTGGCTTTGCATCTTTTTTCGTCCTCTTTCTGCGTGAAAATAAAGAAAAAGAAACCGTTGATAAAAATACATTTAAAAACAACGTAAAGCTTCCTGCGCAGTTTCAAGGGGTCCCTCAAGCTGTTTTTTTAGGCCAAACATAGCAGACATAACTTAGAATGCAGATTAAATATCTCTTTTTATCTGACAAACCAGATACGGGAGAGAATCCAATGCAAAACTGAATGACGCGAAGTCGCAAACTTGCTTGCTGGATATAGGGACTGTACTATGGATAACTCGTATAAACCAGAAGTGCAAAAAAATACATTATACTTCTGATTTGGTGAACCTTTGGAACTTCAAGCGTCATATTCATTGAAATCGAATCATGATTGCACAGGATTGGCAGCTGAAGGGTCAATTATTGACTTGCATTTGATCTTTTTTGGGTAACTTTCGTGAATTAAATGTATCAAAAAATAATAGATCTATTTCTCCATGTCATGCTCTTTTACCTTCTGCAGTAGAAGAATACAGCTATAAACCCAGCTACTAGGAAAGTAACTACCATTACAGGAACGACCACAGTTACCACACTGAAGCCTGTTTGAGGAAGATTATAAAAAAAAAATTATCAATCAGTATCTAAAATCGTGAAGATAACGTGCGACCAAAGTTTTTCGAACAGTGTTAAGCGATACGGAGAAAGATGTAACTTCTCGTAAGGGTTAACAGTACGAAACTACATTAGAGCCAGCTAGCTAGGCGACTTAGAAAATACAGCCAGTTTCGAGACCTTGTTACTCTGCGGTGTTTTTTCGTAATTATTGTTTGTGATTATTTAAAAATTGTTACAATTCAGACTAAATTTAGTTAAGTTCTTAGTTGATTTTTAACGAAATGATCTGAAAAAGATCATTTTCATCAGGATATTCATCGCCAAATTGTAAAAGAGGGACTAAACGCATTTTTATTAAACACAACAAACGTTTCTATAAACATATCATTTTGGTCCATCACCTTTTCTTGGTGGCTGCTTTCTTTCATCTTTTGATCCACCTTTCCTTGACGGTTCGTCTATTGTTGATGTCAGCTCTCTGGCAGACGTTGTCTTTTCTAGTGTACGCAATGTTGCACAGGTAAAGGGAGACGATACTGTCACATTCGGGCTTTTTGTAGTCGTGACACTGGGTGCTGGTTTGGAGAAAAAATTGTAACCGCAGTTGAACCTCTTAATAAACGGAAACCAAAGGGGCAGATCTGAATCTCCTTATTATAGAGATGGCTGTTTTAGAGAGGTAGGGATTATATGATTTGGGGTCATTCTGGTTTCGTTTAGACTAAGTTCTTAAGTTGACTGGCCATAATGTAGAGGTGTCCTTATTATGGCGTCCGTAAGGACAGGCTTACCTGTACATTTAAAATAACACATCCATGAATTGTCAGGACAGACAAACAGTCAGGGGAGATCCTCAATGAACGTTAAATGTCAAGGGTTAACCCAACATGTAATACCGATGATACTGTATAAGTTAATAATTTTACCTGATTTTTTAACACTGTAGTAAGAAGCGCTGAAGCCGGTGTAAGAGTCAGTCTTGTCTGATTTGAATATAACAAACATCCGGTTTGAGGAGGAGTAGATTCCTTCTTTAGGGGGAGGATTACTTCCGTAAAACACTCCTAACGTTTCCCTTGTCGTAATCTCTCCATCATACACGTATAACACGTCCGTGTTACTTTCGTTTTGTAAATTAAAGCTTGAAAATATTAAGTGAACTCGTTGCGTCACATTAACTGTGATCCTCCAGGAGCAGTACTGACCATCCGGGTATTTTCCTGGGTAGTTCGGGGACTGGAAAGTGCCATTCACCTTGGTTAGGGTTTCATTACATCCTAGAAAAGATTGCCATGATTTAACCGGAATCAAATTTATCCTGGTATCAAACAATTATCAGTTCGTATTCTACTTGAACCATTAATTTCAACTGCAGCCTGGTTGACATATGTGTTACAGTTTTCCAGTAGAACACTTCCTCATGGCTTCGTTCAAAGCCAGGGATCAACCTTCTCAGGTTGGTTGAATTTGTTGAGATTTTCATGCTACTCAGTTTAGTAAAAACCGTTGCTTGTTATTTGGAATGTACACACTAAAACCGTCATAACTCGTTAAGGTACTTAACAAAACCGACACATACGTCAATAGTTAGATGGATGTTTTTTCACCTTGGTAGTAACAGTAGTAAATTGTGGGGTGCGTTTCCCCAGCGTCGTAAGGATACGCCCCTTTTCCTTCATCATTATTACTCCAGTGTTCTGTGTTATAATGAATCCACTCCACACTAGTTACCGCCCACTTCACCATCTGGCATTTTTTTGAGGCATAGGTCAGTAGGAAAAACGGAGATTTAGAGGGGAGGAGGACAGGTTCATTTTTATCTCCGCCTGTTGCACAACAAAATCGAATCAGTGTGTTCTTATTATACTCGCCATCAGGAAGGGTTCCATCTTTATCATTAGCATTGGAAATAAGGTCGTCTTCGTCATCCCAGTAGACAGAACCTGACATCAGACCTTTCGGACACCGTCCCTTTTGATACATGTAGATACAGTACTGACCTGCGGGAAAGTTAGATATTTTGATTCTTTAGAAGAACAATCATATTTAATTGTTTGGTCGATTTTTTTTTTTTTTGGACATTTATGAGACTACGTTTAATATCAATGCGTATAAACGTTATCATGCATCCATGCCCTGCGGCATACCTTTTTTATAATTACCCAAACAAATAAAAGATTAAGAACACAACCAGCGGTTCTAAGAACGGAAGAGGTGCAGATTAACACAAAGGAATGAAAATAGAGGTTTTAAGGCGTAGATCAACCGCGCTTGCTTGCATCATCGGACGTAAGACAAGATCCTTAAGTCAATTTTCTGACCTAAAGGTTTTGTGCCTCACAGATTTAAGACCGACATTATAAAGATACTATTGTAACTCTTATTAATTAAAGTGAAGTAACAAGTCACACGGGTTGCATTGCAAAATAGGACGGTTGACACAGCTTAGTTACTTTTCAGTCGCTGAAGTTTAATTAATTCCCGTTCCCCTTCTTCGGAGAAAAAGAGAGAAGGAGAAAAGGGGTAATGCTTGAAACTTGAAACTTCCAAAAACCCAATGGGGAATCAACTCAGTTAATAATTCATTATTCCCTGATGTTTGACTCTTCTTCTTGTCGATTCAGCATGGCATTTTTTTTCACTGCTTTTTTTGTGCAACTAAATCAGCCTATTACAAATTAACCTGGAAATGTGTGTTAATGCTTTTCGGTGTTATTAATTCGTGACGTTTTCGATACTAACCTCGCGGCCAGTCGGGTCGGTTATCATCATCAGCCGTAGATGTCTTAATACAGAACGATCTTTTAATTTTCCGGCTACCTACGTCTCCATCGAGGTGAAATTCCGCTGATTTTCTGTTGTTTGAAAAAAAATCTTCTGTGTCCTGAAGCCTCCATCCCTCCTCCCACTGAAAGCCATCTGACAAAGGACAGCCAGAAGCAGGTTTGGGTATCCCGTATGTTTCGGCCGGCCAACGAACTGAGGCTTTAAAAAATTGAACAAAGTTATTCAATTTTGTGGAGAAACGTTAATTTAGGATTGATATCCAGCGTAGAACTAAGTCAATCAATCAATCAATCATTTATTTCCACACGTTTCGTCGAGGAGCTAAGAACTCGTTCAAAATACGGACGTGTATAAATGAGAACTATAGTAATGACAACTAATAATATTATTCTTTATTATATGGCTATGTCTCACAAGGACTGGGAACTACCGAATTCACGAATTTGATTGGCTGAAATCGATATTGAGCGCGGTCTAGATTTTCCTATCTAGACCAGCATCTAGACCGGTTTCATTTTGCGTTGAAAAAGTAGCAAACTAAAATACAAAAATGTTCACCGTTTTCTTTTATTTTCTTCTCAATCATTTATGGAAGTGCCAAAAAGCCCGATGACAACAAAAAACAAAAGTAAAGAGGACGAGCAAATTTCGGCAAGTTTAAGTTGAGCCCATTTCCGTTTGCAAACAAAATGTCAGCAAACCAGTTACATTAAACGAATTGAAGTTTTCTTCTTGTACTCACGACCTCGGTCAAGATTCTCCCATACAGACCGACTTAGCTCGGTTAATAAGAGCTAAGTTCTAAGTATTATTCTATTCTAGGTAATAATGTTAAGTCTGGCTTTTCAGCTTCCATGATGCTGACTAATAATTATATATTTCACCTTTATAATGATTAGGATTCCATAGATGTAGAGTATAAAAAAAAAACACATCAAACTCTTTAATCATTTGAGATATCCATACAAAATGTTCGACGAACAGTTTGCATGATACCACACAAAAGCTTTATATTAAATATTTCTTATAATTAATTCACGGAGAATTGACAGTACTCTTTCAAGAGTCAAATTACCCAATTACACGAATTGTATCTATCAGCCTAATCGAAATTTTTGCCGAATTATTTTAGCTGTTAGAATAAATCACCATTGTAGGACTCAGCAACTATCATTCTTTGTTCCGAATTGGGACTCAGTCGGGATCTTCGTCGTCACGGAATAAGCTTGGTTACACCACTCGGCGATATCTCCCTCGCGTGCTTTTCAAAGTCGATATCACCTATAAAGCTCTAGCTTCCTTTAAATCTTACCTGAAGTACGTAAGCTTCGGGCAAAAGTTGTCAAAATTAAGGCTCGCCACCATAACATCTCAAAAGTGCTGAAATCGGGACAATATCTCAATACATGTATTGAAAAGAAGTCTGACTGTAACGCTACTCATAGCAAGCTGAAACGGGACGACTGCCTTGATTTGTATGACGCAAGTTGGTATGTGTGTTAATTTGGCTTGTCACGCACTCCTTCTTCTACGTGGGGAGGGAGGGAGGAGTTGAAGGGAAGTGCGCGACGAGCCTAATGAATGTCTACACAGGAAGCTACGTTATGTGCCATCCGAGTGAAAATCCGTGATGCATTTCTACCTATATCATCTTCTATTAGGCCCACAACATCAACAAAAATTATCCAAGTCCAAAATCTTTACGGCTAGGTCTTTTCCAAACTCTATTCAGTTGTTTCACCCGCTCACCAAACTGAAGAGAAACAGGAGGCTACGTTATGTCTCATCCGATCAGCTGACTGATCAATGTGAAACTAAGGAATATAGTGAAAACCAGTGATGAATTTTTACCTACATCATCTGCTCACAGATGGCGTGGTTTTAAGGACCACAACATTCGATATTCGTTATACTTTCAGGTACTTGTCAAATGGTCTTATGTAGTCCATAACATCCGATTTCTTGACTAAATTGTAAGAATAGCCGGGTTTTACGAGAGGAAATACTGAAACTCAAATTAGATTTCCTAACAAGCGTAAGTTTAACATAGATTTCTAAACAAACTCACAAAGGTAACCAATTGACGGTCAGTTGAATTTTACCATTGCGTATATGACGCATTGGGAATTCAGTCTGGAACAAGAACTGATCGATAACCGTGAGCTGGTAACCATTTTTTGACTGAAATCTCTGTTCAGTTCACTTTTATGAAAAGCAGTGCCCACCGAAACAAACATTAAAGCAAACTTTTAAGACTGGTATTTACACTAATCATGATGTTGTTAGAATGTCGGAAACTGTATCTAAAATTCATCCTTCTTAAAAGCCAACGCCTAACCCCAAGAACTCACTACTATTTCTCCGAACACAAGCGGTGATAAAATGAAATTATCAGCTCCATGCATTGAACTAGTGTCTGTAAGACAGTATTACCATTAAATCTTCTACATTCCCGTGGAGTGTCTCTAGTATTCTTGCCCCTCACTCCGCATCTAAAGAAAGCCAAAACGTAGCCATTAGCAACAGAACTAGTTAATGTCTTTAACAGTTAACTAGTTAATAACATTAAGCGACTTGTACGTGTGAGTGCATGATGATGATACCAGATCCGAATCGTAAGGCTAAAGAGCAGACATGTAGACCTATTACTTTCTAGACTTCCTACAAGAAAGCGGGATCATCTCATAATGCCCCAAAAATGAAGAAAACACGGGCACACTAACAAAAGGAGGTACAGTGCTCAACACTATATTTCAATGGTGTATTACGTGTTGTAGCACCTTTTGGCTCCGTCTTTATTTCAATGCGAAGCTGAAGAGCTTTCCCTTGAGGGACTTGTTCAAATATTCCTTCGCCAGTTATCTTTCCAATG